TCAAACTTTGTTTTTAATTACAAATTTGTTTTATCCAAATTTTTAAAAACCTAAAAATAAAGGTACTTGTCTTAAATTTATTTTATGTTTTCCTAATTTTTGAACACACTGTAGATAAAATCCATTTTTTTTGCATGTCAATGTTTTTTGACGATTACCATAAGCACGGCAACCCGTTTTTTAATCGTACTGAAATTAACAATTACTGCATTATAACGCCATTTAATTTATATTTTAAAATAAACCTTAATTTTATTGAAAAAATGTCCGCCATTTTAAATCTGCCATTTTGTTTTTAAAAAACTAAATATAAAATGTGTTATCAGCGACCCATAAAAACCCTATATTTAAAATTTGAAGTCTAGGAGAACAGCTTCCTTTTTTTCTGTTTTTTAGCGATTTCCGTACTTCACAAAAACGTTATTTTCTATGCTCAACGTAAATTCAGAGGTATACCGGTAACGCGTTGAAACGACATGATACGACATGATACAGAACGCGTTTATTTTAGCACGATTAAAAAATGCGATCCTCCTAATTACGTAAAGATCCAATCATCTTCAGTTGGTTCTAATTGTTCTCGGGCTACATAATTTACAGCAAACGTTATATCAGGCCTTGTTGCATTAGCTAAATACATGTATGCATAAGGCTGCCTATAGCTTCTCTATAAGCAGCTTTACAAATGGTTGACTCTTTATTTTGTGCATTGTCTCTTACATTTTGTTCTTCAAATTTTCTTCTTTTGTTTTGATACCTACTTGTTTTGTAACAATTGGTGTACTTTGAGGTTTACTCTCATTCATATTGAATTTCTCTAAAACACAATCAATATAATTTTCTTGGTGTAGTTTCATGTAGTTTTCATCTTTATTTCTTTCAATTGTCATTTCTAGAAAACTTTTGGGTTCTCCAAGGTCTTTCATATCGAACACTTTTCCCAATTGGTTTACCATTTCTTCTAATTTAGTTTTGTGGTTGGTAGCAACTAACATATCATCTACATACAGAATAAGTACTACACATTTGCCCTCTTTTCTCCAAGTAAAGAGACAAGGTTCATGCAGATTATTCTCCAAATCAAATTTGCTCAATTCCTCTGTAAATTTGTTATTCCAATTCTTTGGACTAATTTTAAGACCATAAAGAACCTTCTTTAGTTTACAAACTTTTGTTTGTTTTGATCGATCGTCCAATTCAATAATACCTTATGTAGACTTCTTCATTTAATACATGCTTAAAAAGTGCTATTTTAACATCTTATTGACATGCAAACAGATTATATTAAATAAAAATATATAAATTTTATTAATCGTTTCGAGTACTGATCGAACTACGGACCATCGTAAAACTGGTTTTTGAAACCTCCAATTACTAATCTTGCTTTAAATCATCAGTGTCATCAACTTCTAATTTTCTCTTAAATATCCATTTAGAATCTATAAAGATTGCCTTACTTTCATCTAACATTACATTTGGTGTGTCAATGAATCTTCCGACTTTGTTATTGTTTAAGGACTCTATTTCCTCTAGTATTGCCTTTTTCCAGTTTAATTTGTCTTTACAGCTTATCGCTTCCTGATATGTTATTGGATCTTTATTAGACAGTATACAAAGTAATCTTTTTTTAACTTTTATTCAGATGTCGAACAAGTCACTAAATGAGCAAAACTTATAACCTCGATAGGCCTTGCAATAATTGCAAGGCATTAATTATTATAATACTGACCTGCTCTGAAGTTGATTTCCTCTTTTTCCTACCCTTCGTCATTGGTTCTTCATATCTTTGTTTTTTAACCACTTTTTGTTTTTGTTTGTTTTCATCTAATAATTTTTTACGTGGTTTTCCTTTTCCTTTTGATTTTACAATTTCCAATGGCTTTTCTTTATAAAACTCTTTGTTTTAACTTCTGACTATTCTTATTCCTCTAATTGTTCTTTTTTGTTGGAATTTAAAACGTATTTGTAAACGAGCTTTTTATTACATCTAACATGTCTAGATTCTAAGAATTTTCTGGAGCTTGGATGCCATAGAATATAACCGGTGTTTGTGTAGCTTAGTACTGCTTTGATTGCCTTTGCATCAAATTTTGTATTTGGTTTTTGTACATTAATGTAATCAATATAACCAAACCTCTTAATTTGTTTGAAATGACAAATTACATTTCGCACATTCAGTTCAAAAATCCATAACTCAAAAATTAACAGTTTTGAGTTATTGTGGTTTTTAAATACTTTAACAACCTTAGAATAGATTTAAAAAACCTTCATAGCTTAAAAGCTCATTCACATCCACTTAATACGCGTAACGTAAGTTGAAATACATTGAAACCAATGCAGCTGTTTACATTCGTTGAAAACTTATCACACGTAACTTAACGTATCCAAAAGTTGGGTCCGGCTCAACTTAAGGGAATACGTTTCTTACGTGAGTCAATCACATGCCCAGTAAAACGATATTGCGCTATCTTGTTATTTCACTTTTATAGATAGAGCCAATCACATACCCAGTAAAACGATATAGCGCTATTTTGTTGTTTCACTTTTATAGATAGATAGGCAACCCAGTCTACATTGATGTCTACATTGCGCGTGCTTGTATTTTACGTTTTTTGTCTGTATTAAGTTAATGTAAACAGACAACTTAACAGACGTAGGTTTCTTAAGTTAAGTTAAGTTAAGTTACGCATATTAAGTGGATGTGAATGAGCTTTAAGTCCTATTTTTAAGAACTTTATTACAGATACATTTATATTGAACTAAAATATATGTGTAGTCCAAGTGCACACTCACCATATAAAAATATATGGTGCTTTTAAAAATTGTTCTAATTTATCTTAATGTTGTGTGCAAGACCAATCGGCCATTTCAAGCAGATGGACGGGACAAATCACAAAACTGTTTTTATAAAAAAAAATATTAGCTAATTTATTATATATTATTTTTGTATCAAAATTGTCAAATATATTCTTCTATTATTAGGGTATACATTAAATAAAAAAAATCGCAAGAAATATTTTATAAAAGTAGAGATAATTTCAATAATTGACAGGGATGGACGGGACAAGATAAATCTTTTTTCAATTATTAAAATTATATCTACTTTCATAAAATATTTCTTGAGTTTTTTTGATTTAATGTATAACCTAATAAAAGAAGAATATTTTTGACAATTTTGATGCCAAAATATTATATAATAAATAATCTACAAGTTTTTTTTATAAAAACAGTTTTGTAATTCGTGCGTTTCGCGCGCTTGAAATGGTCGCAATGTAATTTTATTTAAGTTGAAATTAGGTTTTATATTTTTTAATAAATATTATTTTGGGTATTTATTTCTTTTATTAAAATACATTATATTACCAAAAATCTGTTTTATTTAGTTTAACAAAAAAAGTCAAAATGCCATAAACCTTATTAATGCAACATAATTAGAAAATATGAGACCAATTTTTAGTGCAATACCAACATATTTTTTAAAATAATGAAATAAAATCTTTCTAACAAAATATACTGATTAAAAACCATTGGATTTACCATGTAGAGCTTGCAAAAGGACGTTATTGCCGTCCTTACTTTCTTCAATAAATTCCTTTAACCTGTGCAAAACTTTAAACTGGATTATCTCATTTCAATGTTTTTTGAGTTACGGTGGTCTTGTACTGGGTGTGCGATTTGATAAAAACATTTGTAAAGAAACCTGATAAGCAATTGATTTATGAGGAGTTCTTTTGGATGCATGCACGGCAGCTTCAACAGCTTATTCCCACATTGTCTTGGGTAAACCTGAATCGAACATGTATGTTCTTACCTTCTCGTTTTTGCCAAGTAAATTTCTGGCTGAAATCAAATATCTCTCTAATGACTGACCGGACTCATCTTTAGTTTTGATTGTATATGTATATAATCTATAAAGACAACCACAAACTTCTTTTGTCCCGGATACGATATGGGTTTTAATGGACCCATGGTATATGTGTGGATTAACTGAAGTTGTCTCTCTGTTTTTTTTCCTTTTAGTTGTTAAAGGTAGTTTGCCCATTTTAGCCATGTTGCAGATTTTACACTCATTAAAATTTACTTTCTCTAGCTTTTTCTATATTTTTTGTAGTTTCTTTAGATACTTCAATGATGCATGGCCAAGCCTTACGTGCCTCAGCATTGTCTCATTATTCCTCTCAAAGTTTTTTTTTCGAAAGAATCGGTGCATCGCAGAGCCAGAAATCTCAAATTTGTCTATTTCCTCATGCTACAAGAAGAAGAACCTTTAAAGTTACTTATTTAAAAGCTGGGATTGTACTGGAAACAAATTGTCCAATTTGGTTTATCGTACACTCTTAATACCTTATCATCTAAATAAATGCTAAATCCTGCGTCTGCAAACCGAGATTTTCTGATATATCCTGCGCCACTATCACATCAACTGTGTTTATCATATAAATTAGTGCAGAGCAATAGATCGCCCCTGCCATCTATTTTTATATCTGCCAATTGATTTTTATTTGCAGTCTTGAGTGAGTCATTTTTAGAACATCTAAATTCGCTTAGAATTAAGCTTGATGTGGTCAGTACCTCCAGAATCAGCAATAAGTTCAATAGTATTTTCATCCAACTCTAAATTATTCTTACCTTTGTTGATTTTTGATGATTGGTTTTTATTTGAGATTCGGTAAACTTCCCCTCTACCTCTACCTTTGCCTCTAAAGTTTTGTTTGGAAATTTTGCCACTATCATTAGTTTTTGTATAGTTTTTCTTATTGGATTCATACTTATTCTTGAATTTTTGGTTTGACTTATTATATATTTTTTTTTAAACTGTTTGGCAAGATGACATTCTGAACCTTTTTTGTGCGGATGCATTGGCAGTAATAACAAAATCATTTTCCACTCTTCTTTTACTTCAGATATTTTCTCAGCTTCAAACTAAGTAATAAAAGACTTAAATTAATCTAAATTCATTTCCTTTAGGAGCCACGGGTAGCGCAGTGGGTTAGGCGACTATGCCGAGACAAACTGCGTCCGAAGGTATCGGGTTCGATCCCCGGTCACAGCCTTGGGTGTTGTGCGCGTTGAAAGTCGGTAGATGAGTCTAACTCATCAAGGACCGTGGTTCGGATTCCACGTTAAACAGTAGGTCCCGCTGAAGAACCGAACCTTATAGGCTTTGCCTGTAAGCTGGATAGGTTGATGGCGTTACTACTCTACTTTTTTTCATTTCCTTTAAAGAGGTTTGTCGTCTTATCAAGTCAACATTACGTAACTCGGGCATACCCCCAGAAACACCTCGATAAAAAGATTTTTTTCCACTACCTTACTTAATTTTCCACCCCGAGCGAGGAAGCAAATGCCTCTTTTCCTCCTCGGGAGGAAAAAACATTTCCTTGCTCTTTCTTTTTAACAGTCTTAAATTAGCAAGAGTTTTTGTACCTTGTCTAGCCTTATTTGATTTTGTAGGAAAAATATTTACTCCGCGCTTGTCCAATCATTCTTTGAACAAACTATATTCATTTTTATATCGCTCTTTTAAGGAATATTTAATGCCCTTCGCTTCGCGTCGGGCATCAAACTATTCGCGGGAGGAAAAGCACTATTTTCCTCCCATGGTATGTAAATAGCTATTTCTGTTCTGTTAGGGTACTGCATCTTCACTTGTTTCGTACTCCCTAACTATGGAATTGAATCTTTCAACAGAAATCAATCACTTTGGCCATTTTAATTTGGCTTAATCTACCTCTTACTGAAGTGTGCGTTACGTTTGTTTCGCCCTTCTTGAAAACTCTTTTAATCTTAAAAAAAATCGTTTTTTGATAAGTTTCGTCTAAATGATGATCATTATTATATCACGAACTAAACCTTTTCGTTTGAGAATGGACTGCTCTCAATAATCTTTGGAAGCTTCTAAATTAGCATCAATCACATCCAGTAAGCCATAACTTCAAATAATCCAACCACAATTCAAAGTTTGATTTTTGAGAAAGTCAGTTAGACTTAATATTAATTTTGGTATTATTAATTCCACTATTATTCCACACTATTGTGGTTTTAATTACCTGAATGCTTTTGCCTAAAAAATCTTAATTTTTTGAATTATTATTATTATTATTATTATTATTCTCTATATCTTTATTATTTTATGCTTCGATTTCATCTATTACTAATTTATTTTGGTTAACATCAGTATTATTTACTCTAACTGGAAGGGTCTTTAGAGCTTCCATGTAATTAAGTCTTGATTTCTCAGGTTAATTTTGAGATTTCGCTGATTTTTGCCATACAATTACTATTAAAACATATTCTTAAACTATTTGTTCACGCGAATAAACGCTTAAATCTCACTTATTTTACCGGGATTTTCAATTCAAGTAACATGCCGCGTGGGCAATGGGCCCCAGTCCGACTCAGGGTGTTGGGTGCGTTCAGAAATTAAAAATTGTGTGACAGAGAGACGTAGAAGTGGACGTGTTTTCTGTGTCCTAATAAATAATAGTCGTGTATGTATTCATTTAAAAAGTGCATGTCATTTTGATCTTAACATGCCTAGTTCCTCAAAATTCTAGTTACATTTATAGGTACTAGATTGAGATAAATAACTAGTAAGATACGCAAATACATAAAAAGTATATAGATACTGTATCTATAGATACTATGGTTACTTGTAACTAGATAAGTTACAACACTGGCTAAAACGTAGTTTCAGTACTTTAGAATGACAAGGTTCTAAGTGCAGCTGAACTGTTAAGCGAAAATGACTTATCTACAATATTAAATATATCAAAGAAAAGATTAATGCCAAATACCTTAACATTAAATTCTGAGACGCTTTTGGATTTTACACCGCAGAAAATTAAAGAATGCGCGGGTCTGCAAAGCACGCATCAGACAGCAAAAGTTACTAGGTAACCAGATTCTAGTTTGAGCTACCGTACGTGAGTTGATATTAATTACAACAATAGTTTACTATTTATTGTCACATTCACTCTATAATTATTTAAAATTTACTCAATTTTTTATTTTCATCTGACAAAATCAGAGGGCCGGTTTATCAATGTCCAGTTAAAGTTGCAGTTAGTTATCTGCAGATAATTTCCATGGATACCATTGTTCTCAAAACAATGGATATGGAATTTAACTAGCAGATAGACTAACTGAAACTTAACCAGAGATTGATAAACCGGCCCTTAGTCTCTGGTCAAATTAATCTATACTTTAAAATAAATAACTCCGCTTCTTAAGTTTTGCCCATTTTTTCCAGAACGCGTTAATTGTCATTGTAGCCAAGCTAATAAAAAAACAGTTCGTTAGGGCTACCGGACGTGAATTGATTATATGTAATTTTTAACGTAAAATTTGTTTTTAATGTTATATTTTGTATAATATAAGCACACGCCCAACTTTAAAAATAACTTTTTGCAGGAATAAACATTACAACAACAAAAAAAGACATGGAGGATGCTTTTGAAGATTATGAAGTATGGAAAGAACGAATTCTAAGAGAGGCTGAAGAAGTAATACAAAAAAATTAGGTGTTTAGATGGAAAAAATACATATATTTTATTATGAAAAAAAAACATTTTTTTTCCCTTTCATTATTATATTATTTGAATTAAACACCCTTGCAATGGCAACAATTGCCAAGTTGTCAAGAAGTGTCAAGATGAAATGTTTTTGGTCTTGTATGGTATTTTTTTTTCTTATTACTTTTTTGAATTTCGCCGTCGGAATAGAAATACCACCTTTTAATTTTATAATACGAGAAGAAAAGAGGTGGTGTGTTGCGTATACGTTTGCTGTAGGAATTATAATATACGCATTACATATTATGGTTGCAGAGGTAAGATTTTTAAAACATTACTATTTTTTAATAAATTTATAACAATACCACTTGTAATATTCTTTTTAGAAGTTGCAAGTTTTCGTCCCCCCAGAAATTTTTTTTGTTTTTGTGGGAATAATAGTTGGAATTTTGGAATTTCACAAACTAATTCCCCGCTCTGTAGTGAGAGACATATTATACGAAAATCCAGAATTTTTCATAATGATTTATATACCTACCGTGTATATTACAAAATTTTTGTTTATGCACGTTAAACACCCAATGCAATGCTTTTTGAGAGCATTTATATTATCTTTTACCAGTAAAAATGTTGCTTGGTTTCAAAAACAGACAAATCCAAGGATATAGATGGCGTTGTTAAATATAGCCAATACAATGTTGTCTTCCAACAATGGTTTACTAACATTAAATAAAATAAACTTAATACTATGTGAAATTGTCTATTTTTGAAACCAACTTTAAAGCTATAAAAATATTTAATTAACTTAATTTTATAGATGTTATATTTGATATATTTTTTATCTGGGTATTTTGGTATTTAATTCATCCAAGAGATATCGATTCAAAACACCGAATTAAACAGGGTATGTCCAAAATGAAAGTGAACAAAACTTTATGGTTCATTTTAGCGGTTTTTATAGCAATGTCTATTAACAAAAACCCATCTCAAATGAAGTTGTTAACCGATCCTGGCGGTTACAGAAGAACTATAAATGGGGTGTTAGAAATGGAATCTATAATATCCATCACGAAAAGTTTATTTGTATGTTTTGTTTATGCAAACGATAACAAATTTGATATTGATTTAATATATATCTTATATTGTTTATTGTATATTATAGGTAAATAAGACCACCCCATGTGTATCTGTCGATAGAAGGCGCCATCATAATATAGTTTATTTTTTAAGGTTATATTATATTGGGCTTTATTATTGGAAAAATATTCTTTCTGTTTATTGAAATGATAATGTCAAATCATATGAACACGGTTCTATTAACTATATCGGTTCCGATGGTTATTGTGTATGTTACAGTTTTAACGAAGAATGTATTTTATAGCACTATGATAATTATGGGATATGCAATAATGTTTTACAGAAATAGGAAAGGTTTTTCACCGGAACTTGATAATTTAATAGACACAATTTGGGGTTTGATGGTTCATCTTGTAAAAATGTGTCTAGGTTTAGTTATAGGTAGGGCTATTCTGTCATGCTAAGCAAATTGTTAAAAACAATATAAAAATTATATATTTCAGTTCTGAGCCTTCGCTTGACCCTTAATGAGATTACACTACCCTTTCGTATGGTAAAACATCGTTTTATTCCCTAAATTTAACATTCTTTCCCCAATTTCACGTCTTCAGCGCTCGCATCGGCAACCCCGCGCGCTGCGCAGAGCAGGGAGACAGAGATGCGAGCTTTGGTCAGTACGCTTTCTTTCGCGGTGGTGTGAACATCGTTTGTGTAAAGTGCTACCTTTGGCTAAATAATATTTATCAAAGAATTCCCTAAATGTATGTATTAAATTATTTTATAACATTTTAGATTGGTATGTAACAAAATACATGCATCACCATACGGATGCTTTCCATTATTAAGGAAATAATACAATATGCATCAACTTGGAGACGACTCTTGGTCTCTCCAAGATAATACATGCTAGTCCCCGATCAATTCAATCGAGACCGCTTATAAATCAGGCCGAAGGCTGAAAACTCGAGCCGACGGTCGAAGAGCTCCACCATGGCTTGTTAGTAATTGGTTTTTGTTTGCTTGTTGCAGATTGCGGCTAATAAAAACCTAAAAAAATTAGAAACATTAGTGGAGGTTCCAGCAAACAATGCTAGTGATGACGCTATCTTGGAAAGAGTAAAAAAACAAGCTATTAATCATCTTCCAGAAGGCTGGAAGGAATGGAATGTGGCAATGCTAAAAAAAGAAGACATTCTTGGATCGCCGGCTGACCCACAAATTCTCAACAGATTAAAGTTCGCTATTCCTACAATAGGCTTGGCCCAGGCCTTCTTTCCCAATCTGTCTTACATCTCAGAAAAGGTCTTAAGGGACTTAAAGATAAAAATGCTGGATTGGGAATTTTGTATAGGCCTTATTGTGGCTCAGTAAAAAGCGAACTTATTACAACTACAATTGGTGAAATAAGACCACTTATGTTGTCATTCAACTGGGGAATGAAACCTCAGGAAACGAAAGCTCCACCAGCACTAGGAAACAAAACAACAGAAAAAGTGGCCTAGATAAACTTGAGGAAAGTAACAAGGAGGTGAAAGATATGTTATCTACAATTTTGCAAAGACTTAATCAACAGGAAAACGAGGAAGAGTACTTAGACGAGACATCTGATGATGAAAAGGAAAACGAACCAGAGGAAGAACAAGAACCAGAGGATGCAGTGGAAGACGATAGGCCTTGGGCCCCTCCAGCACTACATCCCCAAGAAGATGAAGAAGACATGGAATTTGACTTCACGCCTAAGACCAAAGAACAAGATCTTGTAATTCCAGCCCCAAGACATAATATTCTTGAGCAGGGAAGGGAGTGCCAAAGACTGGGTCAACTCTCATTTAATAAAATAAGATACTCCGACGTACACAAAAAATTGCATGCGTCACCAGTCTTCAGTGCGCTAAAAGTAAACCCTCAATTATATCGTCAATAGACAAATCCCCTTCAGGAACAACTTTCGAAATATGATGCAACTTTGGGCCCTATCCTGCATGGCATGCTCTTACAAAGAGAAGCTTTTTCAAATGCCCTCGGTGAGATAATCAAAAAACATCCACAAACAAAGGCAGATCTTCACACAAATTTGGTTAAAGGAGAATTTAGACAAATATCAGATGATCTGGTACAATACGTATGCGGTCGACGCGCAGAAACAATTGATCAAAGACGAAAAATCCTTAAGCCTAAAAACGAATATGTTGCGTCACTGCTTGAGAACATTCCCCCTTCGGATACTCACCTATTCGAAGAAAATTCATTCAATGATTTTCACAAACAACATGAGCAGTTATTTCGGCCTTTTTACTCAAATAGGTCAACGTCAAACCGATTTAAAACGGAAAAGACGCACAGACCAATGCCAAAATCAATAGAAAATAGGCCCAGAACCAACACTAAAACGTCCTCGGGTGGAGAGACCTGGAGAAAACCCGCAAAGCCTTACAAAAAACGTGAGACTACAAGAGGCGTTCATAAATCCTACAGGAAAGGTGACTCGTCGGGACGATCAAAACAATGACCATCAAAACTATCACTTTCAAGGGGGGCAATTAAGGAAATACATTCAAAACTGGGAGTCCCTGGGTGCCCCAGAACATATTTTAAAAATAATCAAGGGATATCGTGTTCCATTTATAAAAAAACCTCCCCTTACTCGTTTAATAAAAAAAATATCAACATCATTTCGCACCCTGGGCATGAAAACGGAAATAAACAATATGTTAAAAGAAAAAGTACTAGAAGAATCACAATTTTCAACAGGATTTCTTTCCAAAATGTTTCCTCGCCACAAACAGAACGGAAAAATACGCCCAATCTTCAATCAAAAAGGATTAAACAAATTTTTGTCCCCGAAAAAGTTTGGCCTAATCAGTCACCTAAAAGTCCCACAATTTCTTCAACGGGAAGATTTTATGGCAAAAATCGATATCCACCAGGCCTACTTGCATATAGCAATAAGCCCACCTCATCGAAGGTTCCTGTCCATGTTATTCGAAGAAAAACTCCTTCAAATGACATGCCTTTCCTTTGGCCTGTCAACAGCTCCTCAGACCTTCGCAAAACTTTCAAATTGGATAGCCAGTCAACTAAGAGACTTAGGTATTCGCATAATTGTCTACCTAGACGACTTTCTTTTGGCAAATCAAAATCGGAAAGTTCTTGGACAGCAAATTCAACTCACAAAAAAATCTTCTCAACCACCTTGGCTGGGTGTTGAATTGGCAAAAATCCTCAGCAACACCGAGAAGAGAGATAGAGTTTTTAGGTCTACTGTGGAATACCAAAAAAAGGCACAATATCTTTACCAAACAAAAAGAAATATGCAATAAATCAGGAGATTGTGCAAATATTAAAACTTCGTCACTGGAACTGGGAAATGGCAAAAAGACTTCTTGGAAAACTCAATTTTGCCACGACAGCGATCCCCCTCGGAAGACTCCATTCAAGATTTCTTTAAAGAGCAAGCGTCGTACTACCAGAATCATCGCCCAAAAAGCTTTTCGAGATCCCAACCCCTGCAGCGAAAGAATGTCTTTGGTGGCTAAATCACCTAAGCTCAAAAGCCCCTCTCTTTCAAAAGGACACATCCATCTTTATCACAACGGACGCATCGAACAAGGGGTGGGGAGCCCAGGTGGAAAACCACCTAATCCGGAGAACTTGGAAACCTTACCAAACACAATGGCACATAAACAGGAAGGAACTGTACGCCGTCTTTGCAACTATAAAGTTGCTCAAAAACAAAATGAAAGGCAAAGCAGTACTCCTTCAAACGGACAACCGAACGGTCATAGCCTACATTCAAAACCAGGGCGGAACGAAGTCACTCCCTCTGCTAGAGCTAGCTTCTCGTTTTTTAAAACTAACCAACAAAATGAAAATTTACTTGACAGCTCATTATATCGCAAGCAATTACAACAATGTAGCGGACAACTTGTCACCCCAAAAAGTCCTTCCCGATTGGCATTTGTCCAATCACATAACCAAAATGATCTTTCAAAAATGGGGAATACCAGTTGTGGACCTTTTTGCAACGAACAGATCAAAAGTAGTACCCACTTACGTGTCTCGGGATGCCAAAGATCACTCAGCCCTCTTCACCGATGCATTCAGTCGAAAATGGTGTTTTCAACTGGCGTGGGCATTTCCTCCCCCAAGTCTGAACCACGCGAAAGGAATCTATATTTTAATAACACCAAAATGGGAACGCGTTTTTTGGCGGGCAGATCTGAAGGCTCGAGCGCTAGCACCTCCATTACAAATTCGAATCAACACTTAACGGACATGTCAACATCCATGCCACTGAAACAGGCCCACCAGCTAAATTTGGAGGCCTGGAAAATACAGGGTGGTCAAATATCATAATTCATTGGGAGAGAGAAGACGCCAAATTACTGGAAAGTTCCTGGAGAGAATCGTCCCTGAAAACCTATTCAGCTCCTTGGAAACAATGGCTAGTCTGGTCTTCAAAGGAAAATGTCAGTCCTAACGATCCCTCTCCAAATCAAGTGGCTCAATATTTATCATATTTACACAGGAAAAAGAAATTGGCACCTACAACCATCAAACTTCATAAATCTGTTATCGCTACTTTTTCAAATCCCTTAAAAAGTGAGAATATTACTAACGACCCTACAGTTAAACATATATTAAAAGCAATCGAAGCCTCTAAGCCTCAACCAGGTCGAAAAGTTATTTGGGACATAAACAAACTTATTGATTGGATGATAAAGGAAGACATCGACGAACAAAGTGCATTTCAAGTATCACGCCGAACATCCATTATTCTCCTGCTAGCCTCAGGGCGAAGAGTACATGATTTAACGCTTTTAAAAATCGACAAAAACTCTATTGAAATCAGCGACAACTCAATTATACTTTGGCCCGAGTGGGGCTCCAAAACCGATAAAAGTAATTACCGACAATCAGGATGGCAACTTAAAAAAAAATCCTAATAAAGCTTTAGATCCAGTATTTTGGATCCAAAAACTGATCCATATCACTCAAAAAAGACGAACAACAAGAGAAAATTTATTAAATCTATTTATAACGGTTAGAGGAAAAGTATCGCAAGCGTCCCGAAGTACCATAGGGGGATGGATTAAAACTGCTTTTAAAGAAGCAGATCTCCCATTCTCCCCGGGGAGTATCAGATCAGCAGTAGCGTCGGCAAGATGGAATAACAATACTCCCCTAGATGATATTCTAAAAAACGGGCAAACAAAACTTTTTTAAGTTTTACTACAAAGAAGTGGAAAAGTCTATCCAAAATTCCGAAGGAGATGGACTAACAAACAAAACCTTTACAGCTCTGGTTTAAAATAACTTAGCCAAAACATTCTTATAGTTATAAAAGTGTAGTAGTTTAATTTCTGTTTAAAAACTTGCTCTAAAGAATATCCTTTTTTCTTTTGCACTGATATGAAACTCAGTAAAATATTGTTACATACCATTGTCTATTTATTTTATGTTAATTCTTTCTCTCACAATACGCTATCACGTCGTCAGAAACCAAACACTTCTCATTAAGGGTCAAGCGAAGGCACAGAACTGAAATAAACACTGCTTTTCCCCAGAATGGAAAAAAACAGTTATTTCAGATCTTGCCGTAGCTTGACCCAGGTAAGTTCTTGACGACTTACATGAAGGTACTGACCAAAGGTCGCATCTCTGTCTCCCTGCCCTGCGCAGCGCGCGGGGTTGCCGATGCAAGCGCTGAAGACGTGAAATCGGGGAAAGAATGATAAATTTAGGGAATAAAACGATGTTTTACAATACGAAAGGGTAGTGTAATCTCATTAAGGGTCAAGCTACGGCAAGATCTGAAATAACTGTTTTTTTCCATTCTGGGGAAAAACAGTGTTTATTATATATTATAAAATATCTTGTCCTTTATTACTTAATATTGTAGATACGGCAGTTTTGCTGTTGGACAGTATTGTTAAAAAATATACATGGACATATTGAAAATTTATAGTATACAAGGTGTTAACGAAAGGATGTCGGAAAATTTACCAGGACCTGGTGGTAGGATTTCTTAAAATATTAATGTAACCAAAGGTTGTCAAAACATTTACCAGGTGGTAAGGTAGATCCCCTGTACAACCCCTTTATATTTATATATACAGGGTGTCCCAAAATCACCGGACCAAACGAATGTTATTTTTGTGAAAATTTCGGAAACCCGACCTTCAATTGTTTTTAGGTTTTTACTATTTTATTCAGAAGAAAAAATGCTACCAATTTTCTGCTTTATCCGACTTTGTAGTGTTTCTTAATCTATGGCTGCTAATACTGTATGGGCTCAATTTTTAAATGATTTTAACCCAATTCGTCTCCCACAATTAGGCGCGTGGGGTGATTTTGATCCCATGCTAATTTTTTTATTAATTTGTATTTTTTTTAAATTTCCTGTGCAGGAATACTTTGTTTGCACCTTTGGGGATACTTTTGCAAAATATGATGACTTTAATTAATTTTATCAAAGAACAACAGATTTTCCAATTACAAAATTAACAATTGTTAAGAGAAATATCTTTCAGTCATTAACCAAGTCATTAAACAAGTCATTATTTACCACATTCGATAAAAAAAGAAGCTAAAGTAAAGATCGCAAATGAGTTTTGCACAACTTTTACAACTTTTTATAGTTTTCTTGTCCCATTTTTTTTGACAAAAATAGCAATATGTAGACTCATCCAGTTTTCGTTTAGGGTGTCTTGGAAAAAATTATATAATTTTTCTGACATTTCTCGCACTATGTTTATAACATTTATAATATTATATACATATATGTATTATGGATCAAGTTTGGTAAACGCCATTTTAGTCACGAATTAAATTTAGGCACAAGCGAGCTTGCGAGCGAGTGCTTAATTAAATGAGTGTCTATAAACAAGGTGCATACTATACTTTTTCGACGACAAGTACTTATTATTATCTTAAAATGATTTTAATCAAATAATTGTATAGAGCGCCATCTATGAAACAACAGGGGAAACTATCAAATGTCACATTTTTACATTTTATAAACACAATTATAAAGGTTATAAATCGAAATGTACCTATCTTGAAAATTGACAGTTTTTCACAGTGAAAGTAAAGGAAATGTTTTATGAGGACTTTACAGTAGAGTGCGTGCCCGAATTTAAGTTATGGTTTACTGCCGGCGAAATTAAAAGGTCAGTACAATGTTCATATAAACTTTTCAAATATTGGCGTTGAGAAACTATTTAATATTTTTGTATTTTTGTATTGAGATAATAAAATAATTTTCACATTTAGTATTATTTTACAAGAAAGGCACTTTATTTTAACGATTGTATGACATTTGACAACTGTCAACTAACTTAAAACTAACTTCAGCCCGTGACTAAAAACCTGTTGCTAACTTCAGCCCATGACTAAAGCGCCGTAAAGCCACAACTTGTCAATGTGTATTTAAAAGGTCACTTAGTGTCATGGAAACATGTACGATAAAGGGCGTTTTAAAGGTGGGAGTAGAAAAAATATTTTAAGATGTCTTCCAACTGCTAAATTTTCCGACGACCTTTCGTTAACACCTGTAAGTATAATAAAATAACTCAAAAATTACTATCGATAATATCGATAGTTCACTATAAATCTTTACTATCGAATTATCAAAAGTTTTCAACCAAATATCGAAATTTTATATACCTTTTTATATGACTGTGACAGGTTTATTACCTAGTACCTACTGTAAATATTCATATATTATTTTTACGCTGTTACCATTTTCCCGGCTGCGGGATTCTTACCAATCCCGGCTGACGTCAGACACAGCCGGGATTGACACTAATCACGGGTGATTTTTGCCATTTTCTACCGATGACGTCAGCGGAAACCGGGAGAGATGAATCTCGGCGAAGCGTTTATGTACATTAGTGTGGTTAAAAAATATACCATCTTTTTTATTACATCCACATGTTTAATAGTTTTCCATTTTCCATTAAATTAACAAGGAAAAATAATTTATTTTTCATATGGACTTAAAAATGGTTTAGATCAATTGGGAATGTAATAAAGTTATTACAGTTCTGTAATAAATCTACAAAAGATACTAAAGAAGAAAATGTTAAAATTTAAGAATTTTATTAGATAATACATAGGTATGTTTTAGGGCACCATGCGCAATAGTATACCCAGGGCCAGGGCCGTTCCTGGCGAGCGTGCAGTGCGTGCACGCACGCAGGCGCAACATTTTGGGGCCGCAAAATCCAAGGGTCAATCAGTAATTTGTAATGATAAACTTTCTTGCAATAAACAAATTCCTAAACATACCTACATAAAGGTTACCGCCTTTCTTTGCGTCGCGACGCATTAAAGCCTCATGCCGCTCTTTTCTCGGCCGCAAGCGCCTTTTAAAGCTGCGGCTTAATTTGATATCATATATGAGTACCTTAGATGCAAAACTCGGTTTTTGCAAATTAAAAAATAAAATAAAATTGACTTTAAATTCTGTTTAGTGTTCGTCCTAGATAAATGGCGTTCATAAAACTTGATACATAATAATATTATATTATATATATTATTATATATCAAGTTTTATAAACGCCATTTATCTAGGACGAACACTAAACAGAATTTAAAGTCAATTTTATTTTATTTTTTAATTTGCAAAAACCGAGTTTTGCATCTAAGGTACTCATATATGAGTATCAAAATTAAAGGAGATAAATTGTCATAATATCGATGGTTATTTAACAAAACATCGTAGGCGACAATTTTGTTGAATTAATTTTTATTTGATCAAAGTGTCAGTTACGATAAGCTGCACATGTTAACATAATAGTTATCCCAATTTTGGAATCTAATATTGGTCAGTTTGAATATTTTAATTATTGTAAGCGCCTCTTCTTTTTAATTTGTTACCGATTTAGAACGTAAGCGCCTATATGTTCCCGACAAATAATCGTAAGCAACTCCGGGACATGGCGTTTGCGATTTGAGATTGTGTCGCTTACGATAATATTTTGCTCCCGCCTTGATCTATCAAGGCGATATTCCCGCTCTAAACAGTTTATTCGTGAGTATACCTGCATCGCGATGCATCGTGGTGATAGCTACCAAGTTTTAAAATAATATTTTATTTGATCAAAAGCTTATAATTACTTTAGTCGTTTTTTCGCGTAAATACTATGTAATACTACGGTTAAATAAGTCATGACGTCACAGTTAATTCATATAACCATGGTTAGGTTTCTAACATTTGACATTTGTTTACTTGTTCATAACCTATAATTTTTGAAATGTGTTTTTACCTATTTATATTTAATTTCTATGCTTTTACCGGTGTAAATAAATTTCTTTGCCTCTTTTTATACCTAGTATATTCTTTTTCTATAGGTACTAGTTTTTTTAATACACGTTATCCAATTCTCCTACATGTTTAATAGAAAATAAGGAAGAATATAAAAAAAAAACCTGCATATAATTCCTCCACTTGTGGAGATTCACAATATGGAGCACCCTATCATTTATTTTTACTGACAACACCCCGTTTACCATTTTAATACAAAGTTTAAATTCGGTTTAAGAGCCATTGTACCTACTTAAAATATTTTAAATTTCAAATGTAAACAACTTCTTGACAGATCGTAACAGAAAAATATATATTAAAAAGAGAAAGACTATTAACCACGTTGAATAACTAGCTCAGCGATATAGTTTTATGGTCTGGTATTTGTGACGTCATAGTTAGGATTTTTGAACGCACTCTAAACGCAAAAATGCCTTAACTATTAACCACGGTTAAGTTTAATAACCATAGTATTTCATGGTATTTACGCGAAAAAACGACTTTTATTTCATTGCATTATTAATAGTTATCCTAATTATAATTGTTGTTACCTAGTGTGGTTCGTTAACCCGTAAATGGTGAGGTCACTTTTTTGTTACATAACTGGTGAGGTGGGGTTTACCAAACCCCAAATGAAAACAGGGGGTAGCGAGCCACGCAACATGATTTAATACGTGGTAAAGATTCTTACAATGGGTGGGGTTTGGGAAACCCCACCTCACCAGTTGCGAGTTAAAAGTGTTTTTTGTAGTAATTGTATATTGTTTTAGCGTCAAATAATTTGACTCAAATTTAAAACGATCATGGTACCATGCATTGGTTAGATACTGATGTGTGAATAAAAATCGTTCTTTTTTTCAAAGAAAGCTAATGTACATTTTCATTTTCAAACATTGTTTGGCAAAATATCATTATT